GTCTTATCTAAGGAGATTCTTTAAAACCGTATTTTTTCCATATATACAATTTATTACCTGTGATCAGAGGATTTTTTTTCTCACAACGATTGATCTCTGGCTAAAATATATTTGTTATACCGATATGCCAATGCTAATTGGTAAAACTTGTTTTTTTTCTACGAATTTCATCGCACTTTTCCTGAATGAATCTTTTTCATTTAGGCTGGACTGCGGTTTCAACTTCGTCTTAATTTCAATAAAATCTTCAAAGCCTCCAAAAGCCTAGTTACAGGTTCACACCCAAACAAATTAGCCATCAGGCCACACTATCATTGTCACTGTGTTGGGTGGCTTTAAAGACGTAGTTGATTTACCTTAACTCGATGAGCTCTTTTTACCGTATGAACGCCCCTTTGGTCGCCATTAATCTCTCACATAAGTAAAATAACATAAGAAATATTTTAATTTAAAATTTACAGTATTAATATTGTCTGTAATTTAATAATTTTCGCATGGTGTAATTTGTAAGCGATTTGATCCTAACTTTTTGTGTTAAAGATGAACATAAGTGTGACATTTATTGCAAATGCTTGCTGGAAAAAGTCACACAAATAATTAGTGGAACTTGGTTATTACTGCATATATTGAGTTGCAATATATTCTCTATTAATCCTTATTTAATCTTTTTTTCTTTTTATGCTTACTAACTATAATAGTTTGGCTTGTCTGCACGCTCCAGATGCCTTCTTTGTTGCCCCGTCTCGCCATGGCATTCGTCTAATGTCGGAAAATTTAGCTCACCACAGTTGAGTATCATTGTGTTGCCCCCTCCACTTTCTCTCCTGAGGCTTGGTCCTATCAATTGTTATGTTTCTGACTCATCGCAACTATTCAATGCTCCCACATCTTCAACGGTCGTTCGGCAATCCTCTCATTTCAATAGCAAGTTACCTGATCCATCCCTCGAATGGGCCAAGCGTGTTGACTTCGACATCAGACTGTTTGGAGATGCCAAGTTCGTGCGCAATTTGCGAGATAATATAGTCAATAGGTTGAGTGAAGTGAACCTCGATCATATGGTATTACCTTCAAGGCTCACGTATTTTCAAATATATAATTTTCTATTTAACATTGTTATATGCATCACTACTCTCACTAGGAGTGTATAGCAGGCCTATCGAATTGCACCTTGGCCAGCCTCCTACCTTCCACTTTAGTCACCAGCATTCCCTAATAAAAATAGAAAATTCGACACACTAATTGAGCCCTCCAATCACTTAATCTATGGATGCACAAGACTCATTCTAAATTGATAGTAAATTTTGTGAAGAGTCTAGAAGACTATTTTCTAGCTTTCCTATTTTTGTGTTGGTTCGACCTCGTTTTCGAAAGTTGGTCGGAACGTCAGAGAGACCTTGTGGAAAGTGGCTAGCCCTATGTCCTCTACCATAGTATTTGTGATTTCCAGCCTCAGAGCATTGACATAGTACATTCTCAAACGGTCTGCCTATGGGCTCACCTCTGTTATCTAATGTCTACATTGAAAAGTTAGAGGGAAATTTCAAAATATCAGCTCAGCAGCCAACAGTAAGTATGCGATATTTGGATGGCTACTTTGCAATCTGGTCGCACATAAAAGAAAAATTAGACGATTTTCTAATCTTCATAAACCAAATGGATGAATGAGTCAAATTTAGCGTGAATGTGTAGGTCATTCGCATTAAGAAAACTCTCAAGAAACGAATTTTCCTAAAGAAATCAAATACTGGAACTTCCAGTCTAACCATACTTATGGAATAAAAATAGGAATACTTAGGAGTATGGTTATAAGAAGCCTGCGACTCACTGATTCTGAGTTCTTGGAAGAGGAACTGGAAAAAACTAACTCAGATGTGTCTTGGAAACAGATATCCAGAAGAAGCAATATAA